CCGCCCCCCCTTATTTCCCCAGTAGAATTTAAACACTTTTCTACCCTCACACCTAGATGAAACCCTTCGGGAGAATTGAGAAACTGTCCAGGGAGCCAGAGACTGGGCAAAGCACACCTGTGAACGCCGAAACCCTCCCAAAGAGGGCAACAGCCCCCGAACCGCGCACACCCGCGCGGGGGTTTGGATCCTGCTAGAAAGAAGGAGACAAAAGGAGCAATAAATACGTGTGTGATCCTTTCTTAGCGATTTGGAGCCCAAAGGAAAAACGCAAATTGGAAGCAGTATTGGGCATGCGATGCCCCCCCGCCCCCATTTTATCAGGGTCTGATCCGGGCTGATCATTTGCTTTGAGTGTAAGGGCTGATTTTTTATTAGCATGGTCTCAGGCACCTCTCTAATCTTCTCCGAGAGCCCAGCTGAGGAATGGAAAAACTCAGGAATAAATAACTCCATTTACACACTAAACTCTCTTCGATCGAGCAAACAGTGAAATTAGCCAAATAACTTTATTCCCCACCCCACCCGTTTCGGGAGGAGAAGGTTGTTTTAAAGGCGTTGGTGACGGGGACCTGAGGTGTGTGGTTTTTTTTTTTTTTGTTTTTTTTTTTTTTTCCCCCCAGGGGTATGTATGTTTAAAGAGATGCTGAAGAGATTTCTGAGTTCACGGGGAAGAAGGAAAGGTTGGTTTGGGCACCGGCAGCGCGCCTGGCAGGTATTTTAATGACCGTCCCTTCCTTTGAACACTTTCAATTTCTCTGCTTTTTTTTTTTTTTTATCCGGAATATCTTCCCCAGACCAAGCATGATTTCAGTTGTAATTCTGGCGTGTTTGTGATCACTTCTGAGGTAAATTGAGAAGTAAGCTGCGCAAAAGGAGGAAATCGCCCCTGGGGTGCTTTGTTTACTTTGGTTTGTAAAATCCTGCTAGGAGATGGTTTCCTCAGTGTGTGGCAAGTGTTTCTTCAAGAAATTCATCAGCCCTTCTACAATTACTTCGAGCTTCGAGGGAAGAGAGCTGCCATCACTTTCTCACATCCCAAGGTGTTGCATGGAAGAGAGAAGAAAAGGCTGGAGCATTTAATTATAATGGGCGGTGGGGTGGGGGGAACGGAGGCTGCAGAAAGCCGTCCCAAGCCCGTACCTGGGGGGAAAAAAAAACCCCTACAGGGGTGTGTTTGGGAGACGTGTGCCATTTAGAGATGGGGAAAAGTACCCCATCTTGTGCAGTAATTAGTCTGAACAATAAACATAATTGGAATAAAATCAGTTGGAAATTCCTGCGTTTTTAATTACGTTTCATTTTGTGGTAAGCCGTAAAATTATGAATGCCTCTCAATTAAACACTATCCACTTGTAAAGCATTTAACAACAATTATTCCTTAATCAGTTGGAATGTTAGCCACAAATGATGCTGTTAAACATCAAAGGGACGCCTTAGACGTTACCTTTTAGTCATAAGTAAGAGGATTAATTTCTATAATTAGAGAGGATAAATATGTGCATAAATACATCTGATTTTTTTCACGCGTTCTCATCCTACCCGCGAGAGGCGAGGATCTCGGGCATCGCCTGCGCTCCCGGCTCTCCCCCGCCTCGGCGGAGGCGACCCGGGGCGCAGCGGGGTGCGAAGCCCCCTCCCGCCAGCGAGGCCCGATCCTGCGCGCCGCTCCGCGCCGCTCCGC